GTTATTTAAAAAGATCTTTTTCTCAATGCACACAATGGATTCAGCGTACTTCAGTGGCTGATTTTGTGACTAGTGCTACATTGTGCCCTAAGCTACTCGTTCTGTTGGTCTAATAAGATAAGATGCACTAGAAGTGACCCAAATTCTCCCTACCCTCCTAAAATCATAGGTAGCTTTTCTGAAATGGGTAAAACTATCTTATATCTACCACTATGTAAAAATAAAAAAGAAGAATTGGAGCCAACAGCAGTGGGTGGGTCGTAAATACTTAATATCATTCTGCAGTGGACAAATTCAGTACATTAAACTCGTTAACAAAGAGATTGGAAACTCATTCTCTTACTCCAAAATCAATGCACAGAGCTGAACGTTGTATATTGCAGCTCAGCTTAGTGTTCTTAATGGTAAGCAGTGACAAACTGGTTGTGAGGAACAAGAGGACTCCTGCTGAGCATTAAAAATTGGGGAATTGCGAGGACAAGTTAGATATAGTCTTGTTGAACTTGCTGGAAATGTCAACCTTTAAGATACCCATCTCAGACAGTAAAACCACCAGCCATATAAACATTTGTACTGTTGATAGTGCACCTGCATGAAGTGAACCATTCATTTCTGTTAGGACATGGGCATTGAACAAAAGCATTTTTTCCTGCATCTGGCTTTCTAAGCTGTAATAAAATGGCAATCTGAGTGAAGACATACTCCAGCCTGCCCTATAAAACCAAGAGGAATAAACACACAGCATTTCTGTGCTCAGGACTGAGTTTGTTACACGTTTCCTCACACTGTGCATTCGTATGAAAGAAAAACAAGTGACTCCTGCAGCACAACCAGACTTGTCTCTGTATTAATATTAACTGATACCAAGTGTGTAAGTGCTTCCTGTTCCTCAGGATAAATCTGGTGCTATTATTATTGTACTAATAACCTGGGTAAATACTGAAACTTTTCAGCCCACCTGCCAGTTGCAAGGCCAGTGAAGTGCCAGTTGCTGTGGTGCAGACCTGAGCAGGGAGGTTGCTCCACGCTGCTGTGGGACATGATTGTATAACTTGTGGGGAAGCAGCCAGCCAATTCCTGCAGAGGGTTAAGGCAACACACCTGGAGGGGAGCTGCAAAAAGAGGTTGGCTCCTATAACTGTTCCAAATGCAGGAAAACGAGCTGTGATCAGATAAAGCCCTTTGAGGCACTATGGCCAGGTCGATTTTGTAGCACAAGGTGTTTACCTAAGTGTTTTGTAGCTGGAGGACTTTCCATATCACTTACTGTAACATTGCAGCAATGAAGAAGAATAGTAGTACATGCATTTGCAACTCTTTTCCTGTACTCTTTAGAGCCTTACTGTAACATTGCAGCAATGAAGAACAGTAGTACATGTATTTGCAACTCTTTTCCTATACTCTTTAGAGTTTTAATCAATAAACTAAACTGTATTGTAATTAATTTTGAGTTCTTGTTAAAAACTGCTACTAGTGTTGACTGATTTTGTGCTTGTGCTGTCTTGAATTGTGCCATCATATAGAAGTGGCTAACTGCAAGGTATCTACCAAGTACAGGCAGATAAAACAGAGAAAGGAATAAAGCCTAATCACAGTTCTTTCTACCTAAAATCAGGCAAAGAGAAAAAAGTCAGTACCAGTTTTGAGAGAATGCCACGTCACTTTGTTGCTCCAGTTTCAGGGGGTACCCCAAGAACTGGCAGCACAGTGCTCAGAGGATCCTGAGCTGTCTCCCATGGCTGCAGAGTGCAAGATAATTCAGCAGTTTGGGCTCATTTTCAGGCAGGGGATATTCTGGTAGAACCAATTCTCAGTTGAGACCTAAACAGGTTTCAATACAGCAGCACTAGTTCAGTGCTTCTCAGCCTTCTTCTGTAGCATGCTTGGCAAACATGAGAAAACTATGAACTGTGCCCACTATCAGCTGTCTACCTTTGTGAGACATTCTCACAAGTGAATGCCTTGTGTTCATATTAAAGACTTTTATTAAGTTCTGTTAGTGTGAAAAAACCACAACAAATTACACAAGATTTGGATTTAGTTGAAATAATCAAGATTCAGGAAACTGTGTTTAATGGATACTTGAGTTTGACTTTAGAGATCAGGAAACACATGCATCCTTAGAAAGATAACAACTCAGAGCTTTGCTTTGTTCCTTGGCCTGGGATCTAGTCAAAATTCAACATAGATGAATAGTTGGAAGAACAAATCAAACCAAAATAATGGTACCTTTTGTATTAAGTGCTCATGGGTTTTCTTATTTTCTTTCTGTTAGGAAAGCCCCAGCACTTCTGCCATGCTAACCTATAGTCTCTTACATTCCATACTGTGCCAGCATATCCAAACACTTCCTAATCTCTCACTGCCCATGTCATGCATCTTCAGGTGTTGCATCACAGCTAGAATCAAGGACAAAAATATGCACACGAGCAGAATGGTTCATTTAAAAATGAGTTTGGAATGTAAATCAGATGCTTTTCTCAGCTTTAATATTCCTGTCTACCACCAAAATGTACATAACTTTGATCCCCCTGTGATGCTTTATGTGCTTCTATGTTGAACAGAACAAGCAGTTTCTGTTGCTGGAGGTATCATAGCAGGGATCCTTTTGTTTGTTCTCACTGGAATAACTGCATACCTGCTCTGGAAGAAATTTTGCTGCCTCCTTTCTTATGAAAAGCTCACCAGTCCTGCCAAAACAACACACACAGATGCCATTTTTCAGGATCAGTCTATATCTGAAAATCAACTGAAAACCAAAAGGTACATATTTCTGTTTTGTTTCTAAAGCATAGACTATTGGGAATTTATTTCAACTTGTAAAGTCTTAAATGAGGGTGTGATCTCAATACATGCATATACAGAAATGAATGAGACCTCTAAATTATATGAAAACAGTCATGTTTTGTTCCTTTAGGAGAAGAATATTCTAACTATGAATGCAATAAGTATTTCTGATCCATGTAAAAAAGATAATACACTCAAGTGTAATTAGTGAATGGATATAGCTTTCTCTGGGACCTAGACAAATTCAGCCTATGTTCCAGACATTCCTAGTGGTCTCAATGTGAAGTGTCTTGAGAAACAAACAATATGACTTCAGTTCAGAAAGAAGAAGGCTTCAGGGCTCTAAAACCATCATCATCAGCTAATTCTTCATTTCCTTTGAAAGACAGATTCTAAAGAAGAAGAAGAAGAAAAGAAAAAAGGTATGTCTGAGGAATTAGGACCTGATGTCCCTTCAGCTGGACTTTTAGGCATGATAGAAATAACATCAGCTGCAAAACAACGGGTGTTTATTGGTTTTGCCTTTACAGCTCCATAGAATTTTTACAAAATTATAAGAACAGTGAATGTATTGTTGTTACCAAATCTGGTTACCATATTTAAACCAGAAGAGTTAGCAGCTGTTGTTGTCTTGAGCAGATCCAGAAGCGTTCCATTTATCATCCCACCGACACTGTGTCGGCGAGACTGGATCAACCTGACAAATGAAGAACACGTTCAGGAAGAGAGTGACCCCTCCATGGTTCCTCAGCCTGGGCCACGGTCATCCTTTCATTCTTTGGGTATGGCACTGCAAAAACAGGCACTCATTTTCAACACACTCTTTTAATGGGCAACCTTATTAAGAAGCGTGTTTACCGGGAGCATACGAGCCGTAGCATTGCACAGTATGAGTCCTAAACACTATGTGTGCATAGATGTATTTTCACATATGTATATATATATATATAGGAATTGGGTCAGAACATAGCCATTTTAGTCCCACTGCCTTATTAAGAAGCGTGTTTACCGGGAGCATGGGAGCCGTAGCATTGCACAGTATGAGTCCTAAACACTATGTGTGCATAGATGTATTTTCACATATGTATATATGTATAGGAATTGGGTCAGAACGTAGCCATTTTGGTCCCACTGCTGTGGGATCTTGTACATACCTCAGAGAAAGCAATCTCTCCTCCTTCATTTTGTAAAAGCACCACATGAGTGTAACTCAGGCTCAGGATGTGTCTCATTGTTTTTTAAATTATGAAGGTACAGCCTCAGGAATAAGAGAAACAAATGACAAGTTGGTACAACTACCTCCAGATTTGAGGGAAAAGGAATTAAAATACCGAATTTATGCAAAAATTGATTGTTATTAAAGAGATTAATGCCTTTTCCCCCAATACAGCAGTGTTTATAAAAACGCCTGCTATAGTTTCATGACTAATCTGAGTGCTTGTTTTTTATTTCATGAAGCTGCAGCTTACGTGGTAGGGACCATTAACCCAGAGCTGTACAAGTTTCCTGAAGACAAAAGTGAGACGGATTTTCCTGAAGGGAGCATCGGACGCCTCTGGTTCTCCATAGAATATGAACAAGAGTCAGAAAGGCTCCTTGTCTCCTTGATCAAAGTCAGAAAGCTGCAGCCTCCTGCTGATTCCTGTAGCCCGTTTGTGAAAATCTACTTGCTGCCTGATGAAAGAAGCTACTTGCAGTCCAAAACAAAATGCAAAACTCTTAACCCGCAGTTTGATGAACACTTTGTTTTTCAGGTACTTTTGCTTTTGATGAAGCAGATTCTTGTTTGCAAATATTGACTTGCTAAACCATAGAATCA